GACATTCTTCCATCGCGATAACTCGGATAAGCCGTACCCGTTGACTTCCTTTTGATGGGTCACCCAGGATCCCAACCGATTGGCATACGTACCATTTTAATAGTCCTATCTTCAGAAAAATTCTACCTTTCTATCTTTCCTGGTTTGTCTCTGATTCAATCTTCTTTTCTATATCGTTTGATAGCCTCCTACATGGTTATTAGAAAAATCCCAAAGAATTTCATAACGCCCTTCCACTTCTCGCGCGTCAATGATCGCATGTGGCATTGAATGAGCCTCCTACATCTGAAAAATATTGGGAGTTCCACATCAGTAGCCATGTATATTGCAAGGAAACCTTCTTATGCAACTAATTAATAACAGGTAATGTGAATTTGATAGATCATTTCTACCTTAAAAATTACTGAAGTTTGGCGCAAATAATTTTGGGACACCCTGTATATGGGATTCGGTGATGCGAGCTTTTTCAACGAACGAATTAGGTGAGGCTGCCAAATAATTCAAGGAATAGCTGATCATTTGCGCCGCTCACGGAGATTTTATGACGACCGTTGGATCGAGGCAGTTGCTGACTCAATTCCTTGGGATGTTAAACGATCAAAAGGATGGCCGCCCACCGATTGGTAAAGGCAATGAGAGATGAAGGAAAGGTAATGAGTATAGAAGCTAATGGAGTCCACTCTATGAAATTTATGACAGTAAGCGTGAGTGAGAGGGAAGGAAAACTCTTTGGCGGAGATCGCTGCTTTCAAATTAAAAGCTACGGTAGGAACAGATTTTGAGAGAACGCAATACATCTCCAATGCCACTTTCCCATCAGGGTCTGCTCACTGCAGGGGTACCAAGGGAGATTCCGAATTTTTAGCAGAGCCTTTCGAATCTTTTTTTTTGCTTTCATTGCGAATGCGCCTCATGATAATTAAAGGGTAGTGAAGGGATTTGGATATAGGGGAAGGTACGTAAGTTGCATTAGCGAGAAAGGAGATAGCTACTTGCCTTAAACGGCAGCCGCTGGTCAGTACTAGGAATAGGCAATGAGAATCGCGTGTGACGTATGTCGACTAGCTCTTCGTCTCGTTTTATGAGAGTCTCTTCCTGGAAGTCGAATACCTGCAAACGATATCGTAAAACTCGACAACAATATTCCGCAATGAAGTAACCTGATTGTGAGCTGAAATATGGTTACCTCATTGAGTCCGGGAATAGGCACATCTAGAGCTGACGCAGTGCTCACATACTTCGACGGATCCACTTCAGCTCCAATGATGAACGAATTCTGCACAATGAAACATAACGGTGTTCCTTTTACAATCAACAACGAGTAAAGGTGGCCTGGTACGGGGAGACGAAGCCTAGTTGCATCAATCAATCCCGTTTTGGAATTCTCCGCCGCATCCGACTTCTATGCGGAATTACGTAGTTCGAGAAATGTGTTACAAGTCAGAAACGCTACTTCGAGTTCGAATAGAAATGAACCTTGTTGGCAAGCCGATGAACGAGTCCGTGCTTCTATTTTCCCAGACGAGTATGGTATCTCAATGGAACAGAAGGTTTAACTGGTCTGGGCGAGCACCGACCTGAGATTCGTTCGCCCGACCCCCAGCGTGTGATAGTACACCACTTACAACCCCACCGTCTCCGCCCTGTTTTCTAAGATACATATTTCATTATAAGAGAGGTCCGTGAAATTCTGTTTATGCTACAGAGCCTTCTATGGCTTTGAATGGAAAAGTTTCGTTCGAGAGGATAGTGATATTAAGCAGAAACCTTTCTTTTCCATGTGAGACTGAGTATCGTTGCAATTCAGAAGTAGGAGTCGAGGGCGTTGTCTGCTTTTTGAGGTCATAAATGTAATGGTCCGCCATGTTGCACGACGCTTGAGATAGTATATCTCTTACTATATATAATCCATAAGTTTGATGTGTCTGTTTGTATACGTATGTATGTATGTCTGTGTGCCACGCAGTTCGGTTTCACCTGAGAAAACACCTTTAGAGGTCGGGAAAAGTTCTTGACCGACTTGCCGCTTCGCGTTCGAAGCTGTGGTCAGCTAGAGTGCGAAGAACTGGAGGGATGGCGGCCCCTTGCTTGAGTTCCACTTGTCCGTCCGCCGAGGTCACGGTTGAATTCGTTCTTCACGCGTTAAGTTGCGCACAGCAAGCCCCGGTACGTTACGTCTAAGTCATTGCGTTGTGGAACAAGGACCAGGACTTGCTCGGGGAAATATCCGCCCACCAAAGGAGAGGCGTCCTGTCGCTCTGCCACATGCTCACGTCACTATCATCAAATGTCGGCTTGTATGGTCTGAAAACCCTCGCCTAAATTTCCTACTGGTCGACGGAGTTTTGCATTGGAGTCTCCATCATTTTTTTAAATTACCATCTATATAAACATCTAAAAATATCTATCTTTATCTAGATATATAACTAATACTTCAACTGCACGTTTGCATGTCTGAGCGTCTAAGAGTAAGCCTCAGCTCCCTCTGATCCAGAATGGCTATAGCCACGATGGTGAAGACCCAGCACTGGCCCTGGCAAGGCAGTGTTGAGACTCCAGGAGGCAAGCTTGCTGAAACAGCAATAAAACAGCCTCAGTACCCCGCGCACTGGGCCCAGCCGTCTCCGGCGTCGGACGGTATGGCGACCGGTGAGAGGCGAAGAAATTTCGGGTTGCGCAGGGCGCCTTAGGTCTAGGACTATGACAGCACTCCCTCCATACGACACAGAGGCTGTTTCCTACTCTATACCTACAACGCGAGAACAATCTCTTCCAATGCCGCTCTCCGTAACCTCCTCGATGCGGCTGCTCTACATTAAATATCATGTGATTGCGCTGCAAAAAACCAAGAGTATGGAACCCTCATCATTCGTGGTAAAAGCTTCCATAGCGAAACGTCGGCGGCGTTGGTTTCTTC